AAGGTCTGATTGATAAGAAACCTGAAGAATGGGAGGGAATAAGCCAAGTGGCAGTCTCTGAAGGAAGAAAAGTATAGACACAAGTTCAGGGCTCTGAGGAGGATCATACTGGACATATAAGTAATTATTTTAAACCCACTTAGTTTATGTCGTTGGATTTGTTGATTATCTAAAATTATTGAGGGTGAGGCCTCCTTTGTTGTTGTGTGCCGAATCTCAGTTATGGTGGATTTTCATGCTTACTACATTTGGATTATAAATTCATGTTCAGCAGGGTTTTAGCTATAAGATGAGAATGATTTTATTTCAGGCGCTCAGGTCCAGGCCTAAATGAATAGATAAATGTAGACACCAAGCTCCATGTGGCACAGGCCTATGATTGGAGATTTCTGTGGTAGTCCTTTTTCCATCTAGATCCTAGGCTGGGCCATGCAAGTTTCCTCGTGGTCCCTGGTAGGGAGAGGGTGTGGGGGAGGGGGGCATACAAAACCTACGACAAGGGTCATTCTGGTTTTATGCAAGGGGCTTCAGATGTAATTCTCTGATTTGCAAAAGCTGAAGAACTCAATTCCTTTATTATTTTTTTAATATTTTTATTTATTTTTAAAATGTTTATTTTTGAAAGTGCACAAGTGGGGGGGAGGGGCAGAGAGAGTGAGGAAGACAGAGGATCCGAAGTGTGCTCCACACTGACAACAGCGAGACTGATGTGATGTGGGGTTGTGGGGTTCAGACTCAGGAACCGTGAGATCATGACCTGAGCCGAAGTCAGACACTCAACCGACTGAGCCACCCAGACACCCGTTTTTTTTGTTTTTTTTTTTTTTAAGTTTGTTTTTTGGTTTTTGAGAGAGAGCACACAAGTGGGGTAGGGACAGAGAGGGAGAGCATCCTAAGCAGGTTCCGCAATCTCAGCACAGATCCCAATGTAGGGCTCCAAAATAAACTGAGATCATGACCTGAGCTGAAATCCAGATTCAGACGCTCAGTCAACCGAGCCATCCAGGCGCCCCAAGAACTCAATTCTGGATTACAGAGACACTCAGGCTGCTCCACAAAACCTACAGAAACTGGGCTTTTGTGTTGTTAAGTCCCATACTTTCTACTCTGGATTTTAGTTTACTCTTCTTGTTTGACCCTTGGGATTTCCTTCTTTTGGGAGCTCAGCTGTGCATGTAAAAGGATATCCTTTATCTCGTTTTTGAAGCAAAAGGGTTTTCAGATCATTAGTCATTATTCCTGGAATCAAAAGCCTCTGTTGGAACCACTATCTTATCGAATTGCTTTGTAGTCTGCTTTTATGCACATCTGATTTGATATATTGATACATTAAGTATGCTGATCCATTCTCCTTCCCTGAATAAATGCTACTTGGTTGTTTTCTTAGTGCAGCTGACAATGCCATTTGCTAATATTTTGAGTAAAAATTTCTGTGATGGATCTTACTTGTTTCATGGACTGATTTGAAGTAGCTTGTCTTTTTGTCTGGTTAGAAATAATCTGAGAAAAAGAATTATTTAAATTTGAGGAAATAAGTATGACCTGCCTCTCAGATTCCCAGTGTATTTCTCAGCTATTATTGGCTGATTTGTTCTTGTCTAATTTCTAGCAGTTTTTATACTAATATTTCAAGAAATTATTTTTTAAGTTTATTTTGAAAGTGTGCACATGAGCATGAGTGGGGAGAGAGAGAGAGAGGAGAGAGAGAATCCCAAGCAGGCTCCTCGCTGCCAAGCACAAAGCCCAACATGGGGCTCCATCTCATAACTGTGAGATCATGACCTGAGCTGAGATCAAGAGTCGGATGGCTAAATGACTGAGCCTCCCAGTTGTCCCCAGAAACTATATTGTTACTGCTTAGAAAAGAAACTCTTTTTTTTGTACGTGATTTTTTTAAATGCTTGTTTATTTTTGAGAGAGAGAGAGCAAGCACAAGCGGGGGAGGGAAGAGAGGGGCACAGAGGATCCAAAGCAGGCTCCATGCTGACAGCAGAGAGCACGCTGTGGGGCTCGAACTTCCAAACCGTGAGATATGACCTGAGCCGAAGCCAGCTGCTTTACCAGTTGAGCCATCCAGGTGCTCTTCTTTTTTGTACATTATTAAAGCCATGATGATTTCTCTTTATTTGGCTGTAATGCTACAGGTTTTATTATGGAGCCTTTTATTTCTCTTAGTCTTGTTTTTAGAGAAGTAGATTCTCCAAAAAATATTTTCATTTTTCATATCATAGTGTGCGATATGAATTCGAATGCGTGTTTTCTTAACAGTGAGAAATTATTATAGCTACAATTTTATCTCATTATTTCGAAAATGCTTTACTATGTTTTCTTCCATTCTAGTTAAAGAGAATAGAAATCCCAGAAATATGAGTCAGTAGTCATTTTTCACGCATAGGATTTCTAGAATTGGAATAATTACACATTGTTTTGTGATATTTTTGGTATATGGTAAACATTTTCTGTGTTTAAATATTCTCAAAGAACATGTATTTTAGTTCTGAATCTTCTGTTAAAAATTTCTTGTCTTGGACCTTTGTACTTGGATAGAACACAGAGATTTGTCTCATTATTCTCATTTTTAACTACCTTTTCTCATTTTATCTCACAGAACCGTTGATGTCAAACTGCCGCTTGGTTGTATAAGGTTTTACTCAGCGTTTTTAAGAGTGCTCATAGTTAGATACTTTGTTTCAGTAATTCCTTCCAATGGAGAAATACGGGCTCTGCACATTTTCTGTTTGCGTTTTTATATTGGTTTTATTTATCCACAAATTTACGTATACTTTGATATTTAGGAAAATAACTTTCATTTAATGTTTTTAAAAATATATTTGTAAGGCGACCTATTTAAAAGTACTTCAAGTTTGGGGCGCCTGGGTGGCGCAGTCGGTTAAGCGTCCGACTTCAGCCAGGTCACGATCTCGCGGTCCGTGAGTTCGAGCCCCGCGTCAGGCTCTGGGCTGATGGCTCGGAGCCTGGAGCCTGTTTCCGATTCTGTGTCTCCCTCTCTCTGCCCCTCCCCCGTTCATGCTCTGTCTCTGTCCCAAAAATAAATAAACGTTGAAAAAAAAAAATTAAAAAAAAAAATAAAAGTACTTCGAGTTTGATTTTAACATGATTATATACCTTTTGCATATAATTAAGTCAAAGTAAGTAACTTCGGATTTCTGCTTTGCATCGTTTCTTAACTTTTACCCTCTGATAGTGTGTCAACAGCTATTCTCATCCACCCCAGCTACTTTGTCCTATTTAAACTCTCTCTTCAATAATTGGTCATCCCGCTCTTTGGTTACATCGTCGTCTTCACACTCTGTATGCCATTTGTAAGTTTTTTGCAAGTTTGACAATAGGGAAGGAAAGGGGTTTCACGTGAATTTGCTGGTGAATAAACCCAGTTGACCACCGTCAGCTGAGTGTGTAATGGTTCGGTTACATACGTTTATCGGAGGTAAACTCTCTCTTTAAGCCCTTTCTGTGAACATTTACTTTTAGCAGAGCTGTTTGCAGAATTTCCTTATCATTACCATCTCTATTATTTGTATCCTCTTTTCTGGGTCTCGTGCAAGTTCCTGTTCTTGAGATCCGTGTTCTCCAGTTCATGTGGCATTAGATGTTTGAAGTCGGTTTGTTTTCAGACAGTGTGTAGTCAGTACTGTAATTTGTCAAGAGTTGATAATCATTGCAGCCTTTATTATTCTTCAAAAAGTGGATGAACTGTTCTTTCAATTTGGCTTGTGACTTTCTAGTTCGGGATTCTGAGTGTTTTCTGTTCCTAACTGCATTGCCACTTTTGCACCTGAAAACTCTTTCATTTGCCCTGTACTTTGTTAACTCATTCTTGGAATTGATCTTTACCTGTTTCTACTAAATACAATTTCAACCTAAAAATAATACTCCATGCTTTGATATGTGGACTTAAGGTCTTACTTGAAATGTGGGGCAAAGTTCGTCATTTAAATGGATATTGTGGTATTGTGATTTTAAGATATAATTGTTCATTCACATGACCAAAATATATTTCACATCTTTATTTGGTGTTTGTCCAGAGTTCCCCAAACCCTTGGAATTTCTTAAGTGTTGAGAATGATAAAGGTGTCTTTTGTTATGTGAATGGACACACCTAAAGGTGGTTGTGAAGGTAGAGGGTTGGAAGTTCAGTCCCAATCCCTGACCTTGGTGGAAGGGGGGAGGGGCTGTAAATTTAATCCGTGGCCAATGGCCAACGATTCAGTCAGTCATATCTATGTAATAGAGCGTCCATAAAAACCCAGAAGGCCGAGCTCACAGAGATTCTGGGCTGAAGATCACGTGGAGGCATGAGGACTGTTGGTGCTTTGGGAGGGGGCATATAAGCTCCGCCCCTTCCCACATCCCTTGCGCTGTGCATCCCTTCCATCTGGCTGTTCCTGAGTGCTAGCCTTTTATGATAAACAGTAATTTAGCAAGTAAAATGTTTTTCCGAGTTCTGTGGGCTGCTCTAGCAAATTAATGTAACCGAAGGAGGGGTTTCTTAGGACCCTCAGATTTACAGCCAGCTGTTGAGAAGCACAGGTCACAACCCGCAATTGCAGTTGGTGTCCTTAGAGGGGGTCATGGCGGTCACTCCCATCGCTAGCTGGAGGTCAGAGGCACAGGGCTATGACTGGTGTCTGACGGAGGAAGGGGCTGCAGTCTAGGAGGACTGAACCCTTGTGGAGTCTGATGCTATCTCTGCACACACAAATGAGTGAATTCTTGCACACCTGCCGGTGTCTAAGAATTGCTTCTTGGTGTGGGGGGACCTCCCCGCCTTCCTGCACACATTGAAATTGGGTCTAGGGACCAGTTTAGATGAGAATCCACCTAAATTGTCACCTTTGTGTAACATTCAGGGGGTCCGGTACTGTGAAAATATTTGTGGGCCTTGATAACAAGCAAAGTGTTAAGGAAGCTCGGCCAGTTCTCTGCCTCACTTTCTATGTTGTCGTTCTATGCTAGCAATGCTCTTATTTCCTTCTTAGTGGAAGAGAAAGCCAACACCCACCTCCTCCTTGGCATGTGCTTAGACACCTATGCCCGCTACCTTCTGTTCTCCAAGCAGCCGGCACAGGCACAGAGGATGTATGAAAAAGCTTTGCAGATTTCTGAAGAAATACTAGGAGAAAGACACCCACAGGTAAGGGAGGAAAACAGAGAGGGGAACTGTAAAACAAAGGTTTAGAATTTCCGGGTGTGAAATGCCACCCTCGTTGGGAGCAGATCAGCAGCAGATGCTGCTAGGTGCTAGGTATTCCCTCCTCTGCCTGCCCCCAACTGCTTGTTTCCTAAAGGGGGTGAGGGACACCTGGCCAGCTCAGTCAGTAGTGCACGCCGCTCTTCATCTTGAGGTCGAGAGTTTGAGTCCCACATTGGGTGTAGGGATTACTTCAAACAAACCAAAACGAAACAAAACAAAGGATCTGAGACCTCTAATCGGTTCTCCAGAGCATTCTGCCTGCATTTTGGTTCACCCAGCAGAGCAGCCTTTATAAAAGGTGGGTCTAACCAGGCACCCATGAGCTTCCAGGCCTTGAGGGTACATGGCACAGTATTTTGTAATAAGGAACATTAGTAAGAATCATTAAGAGGAACAGGTTAATGCATGAAGATTCTTGTCTCCCTCACCGCATAGGTAAAATGCCAGGGGAAGTTGGGGGAGGGGGGCAGAAAGGAGAAAGGGACTACATTACAAAGTAAAAACCACAGACATAGAATTAAACCAAACCGTGCAGCGCTGTTAGAACAGTGAACACGTTGAACTTTGGTCTTTCTCGTCTCTCACATTAAATTCTTAGAAGGAAGAACTGGACCACTTGTCAGAATGCTTGGTACCCCCAGCACAGGACACAGGCATTTTAACTGGACTGAACACGTCCCAAGGTTCAGGTCGATGGGCAGGGCAACTTGTTGGGCTGTGAACTCTCTTCAGGAAAGGGATTTAGGTTAGAGTCCCTTTAATGGAATATTATTGAGGAATAAGAAGACAAACTTGGAATTCAAACCACCAAGTGCTAGAACTGAGGGGAGGGGGTAGGGTCTGCTTCTCTTAGTACCAAAATTTTAAAAACTCTTAGTGGGAATCTTCCTAAATCAGTAATATATGTGGTTCTTCTCGATGAGTCTCAGAGTCACCAGTAGGGATGACGTTAAATAAAGCCCTGGAGGCTGGCTTCTCAGGATTACCGAACCAGGAGATCGTTACAGCTTCATCTTGCCATTTAGTATTTTTTCTTGGTACTTCTAGTTTGATGATTAGATTAATAAGTCATATCCTGTTCCCTACTTGGTAGATTTGTATTGTTTTCCAGAGAGCCAAACTGATGCCGTCCCCCATACAATGTGAATGATATACGTGTTTGTTATATATATATATATATATATATATATATATACATATACACATATATATATATATATATATATATACGCATATATATCAGTTTGTTAAAGGCTGATGTCTTTCATGTTTGTGGAACGTGCTAGGAAACGTGAACTCTTAAGCATATATCCACAGTTTACCAGACTCCAAATTAATGTTAAATCCGTGTGGCTGTTTTTTAAAAAAATGGCTGTTTTTTCTCTTGTGTGTAGACCATCGTGCTGATGAGTGACCTGGCTACCACCCTGGATGCACAGGGCCGCTTTGATGAGGCCTGTGTTTATGTGCAAAAGGCATCAGATCTGGCGAGACAGATAGAACATCCTGAGCTACACATGCTGCTCAGTAATCTCGCTGCAATTCTGATGCACAGAGGTAGGGGGCAGTGGAAGCCCGCCGGGCCTGCTTGAGGGAAGGGGTCACTGGATTTCTGCAGCTGTGAGACGGTTGTAGGGAGGGCGAGGGGCAGTCAGGAAGCTCCGGGATTCAAAGGCTGGCTGAATGTACTAAAAAGGATGTGTGTTTGGTTGAAGTACCATTGGGTTCAGTTCATGTAACTTGTGTCGTCCTGCACTAGCCCGTCGAACACATGGAGCTAAAGAAAATTTCCATCAGCCACGTGTTCGGCTGATGGAGTCGGGGCCCCAGGGCACCGGAGGGCCCCTGGCCCTCGCTGCCCTGGCGCTCTACAGCTAGGTCGGCTCACAGCCTCTCCGAGCGAGCCAGCGTGTCACAGGGGCTGAAAGGAGGCAGGGCCAGCCTGTCACTTAATGAGCACACAGCAAGTTAGACCTGAACTGTCGCTAGTGCTTGCTCTCAGAATCTTTCAGAATCACTTTGAAAACCTACATTTCTCTTTATTCTCCCTTCTCTCTGGGTTATTTTAGAACGATATGCACAAGCAAAAGAGATCTACCAGGAAGCACTGAAGCAAGCAGAGCTGAAAAGAGATGAGGTTTCTATACAGCACATCAGGGAAGAGCTGGCTGAGCTGTCAAGAAAAAGTAGACCTTTCACTTAATTTTATGAAGCGCTAAATCCCTTTTTGTTGTAGGGAATTTTAAGTAACAGTGGTTATTCTAGTCTCAGTGGCACCCAAATCAATGGCTTAAACCCTTTCTCCTTGATATTCACATCTCGTCAGTTAGCTGTGGTGAAGGACAAGTTGTACGCACTGCCGCTTTTGTTCTTTAAAGGAAAGACGACTTTCACCCCTGGCTGATGTTGACCTCTAAGGACAGATGTCAAGTGATGCTTTCCGTCGTAACGTATGGTGTGGTGCTGTCGTGCTGGTCTCAGTGTACCTGTAGATGGAGATGGGCCAGTTGGCCTTCGGGGTGGGTGTGGTGATTCAGCCAGGCATCTCTATCCTACGATTTTGATCCATTGATTTGCTATACCTTCTTTTTGATTTTGTCCATATCTGGAAGAACAGAACTGTCTCATGGCAAAGGGGGATTATGGTGAGTTATTTTTCTTATCTATTTCATGAAGCTCAGTGTGGGACCTAATGCATAATGGAGCAAAAGCATTGTCGTGGTTTGTGCCAGCGCCCAGCATGAAGTTTTAAAGTAGGAAGTAGGCCCTTGAAAATACACCCGTTTAATTATAAATCAAAGTAAACTGTATGTCTTCATATCTGGTTCTATAGGACTATGAAAGAGGGGGGAAAAGGAAGGATATGAACACTTGTCAGTGCTGTTTGAGGACTCCGCTTCCTTTGCAGCCTAGGTCCCTGAACAGAGTCCTCTGCACGTGCCCAGGCTGCACCCCCAAACCTTCTGTCTCAGGGTCGGGCCTTAACAAGTGTAATATGTAAAATCTCCCCAGTAGTTCTCATATGTTCTGCTTATACAGTGGAAGGATCACTGATCTGGATCTCAGTCCTGGCTTCTCGAGTTTGGGTCTCAGTATCCTCATCTGTAAGTAGGAAACGAATGAGATTGTCTCGTAGCCATGGGAGAATGTATTTTGTCCGATGACCCTAAATGAATAGACTACTACTGTGTTCGAAGAGCCTTATCACACTGCCTCATAGCGTATCAAGTATATACATACAAGATAGGTAGATGGAGGTTTTTACCTCAGAAGTGTTGCAAAGAGCCCCTGGCCTAGGGCAAAGGCAATTTTTGTAGGTGCCATGAAGCAGCACTGTTATTGTTGGTAAGCCTTTGGGGGGTGGGGGGTGTGAGTGGGAATGGTAAACAGATATTTTTGTTTCTGTGTACATACTATTGGAAGAATCCTTTCATAATAAACTAGAGACTCTACAACAACATTGTATGTATTCCGTAATCTTTGAGTTTCTCATAAAAAATAACTTACTAAATAAGAAAAACAAAATACTAGAAATCCTGAGGTCCAGATCCTCCAGGATTAGACTAAGACGCAAATTTTCTATTTTGCAGATGTAAATTTCTTCCTGCTTTCTAAGCTCATCTCTTACCACCCAGCTAGCTCCTTTAATTGAGTCTAATGAGAAACTAGAATGTAAATCAGATTGAGTTTCAGTGCGACCCAGTCTTAATTTATTGGTTGGTGATTTTTGAAAAATTACCGTCAACTAGCGGACTACTCACCTACGTGGAGAATGTTTTTGCTTTTTCACAATTGCAGGGGTTACTGAAAGTAAGGATTGTGACTCCAGGTTTTATTTAAGAATTTTTGAATCTCCACAGTGATTCCGCTTACGGTCCCGTCCTGGTGCTGGAAAAACTATAGGTGTTTTCAGAGAGACAGTCTCTTCCTGTGGGTGTCTCCATGAGAGTTCATTTGCACAGTTGTAAAACAAGGTAGCAGGGCAGGAAGGCCGACCCCTTTGCCGACTGGTCTGAGTTCAAAAGTAAATTGTTAAAAAGAGCATAGTTGAAATTTTTGAACTGTCACCAGCGTTTTCAGGGCATAAATATTTAAAAACTGGAACCCGCACACCCAAGTTACTTCCCATGATAAACATGCGCTGGAGATCTGGCTGTCAGAATGCTGCTATGAACAGTATTGGGAAGACTTTAATTTAGATCCTGGGGTGCTAAAAAAAAAAAAAAATCATGCAGAAGGATGCAGCTTTGGAACACTGAAATCTCAGCCTGCAAAGAGTGTCATGCCTTGGTTTCAGCCGACTTCAAGTCCTCTGTCACTCTCGGGGCTGTCTGCCGTTTCGGTCCTGCCGAGGTGGACGTCCTCCCTCCGAGACGGTTGGCTCCATAGGTAAGCCCGTGAGAGGTCTGTCCTCTCGTTGTTCTCAACTAAGAAACAGTCCTGGACCTTCTCTCCCGTTCTGAACTCCAGGTGGTGGCGGATGGCATAGGAAAACACATACGCACTGCGAGGAGGGGGCGAGGGGGGAGCACCACTCACTCTCGGGTCCTCAAGGAGAGCTGTGCCAGTAACAAGCTAAGCTCTGAGCCGGCTACTCTCAAAGACTGTGCTGACTTGGAATAGCTCAAGACCTTCAGGGTCATGGAAAAATAATCATGATCTCTTGGGTCAGCTGACACAGTAGATTATTAACAAAGTCTCAGACATTACGAGCAGCAGAAAACTGTCAATTAGAACATTTAGTTACGGTCACTAACCTGCTCTCAAGTTTACTGTGAGGACTTCAGGTCTAAGACAAGAGTAGAATAGTAGTAACAAGAGTGAAGGCCTTAACCATGTAGGCAAAGGACTGAGCCTGTGTCCTCATTATTAAAATCGGGATCAGACACCAATGCTGAGGGTGATGCGAGGATCTCGTTACAAAGGAGGCAGTCAGTGGTTCCCATACACCTGCTTTCTGTAGAGGCTTGCATACTTTTGTTAAAAAGTTGAGATCTACTTAGAAGTCCATGAAGTGCTCACGTGTATCATCCCGAGAGACCTCTGCCTCTCCCCTTTCTCCTCTTCAGTGGCATCCTTCCAAAACAGTATCCACGTGCCGCTGAAGGATGCTGCAGCACTATGAAGTCGTAAAATAAAATAATCTCACAGTTCAATAAGCAATTATTAAGGGTGAAACTGACCCCTTCATAATTATTTGCTCCTTGAGATTCGGTGAAAGATTCACCAGTAAACTCTTGCCCACGAGGAATCACGGGGAGAGTAAGAGTAAGCACTGGCACATGGGGAAAGGGAAGTGAGCCTTCGGGATACACAGCACAAGGCAAAGCTAAGAGTCAGATTCTGTACAGATCATTACCTTCTAACTCAACCGATAATACAGAGCAACCCACTCCTCTGAAACCTGAGACATCAAGAGCCTTAAATCACACATCATCTATGTGGCTATGGACAGGGTAGTCCAATTTATTTCGAAACAAAAGCTCTGTTGGGCTGCATCAAATGCAGGAGAAAAAGAATATTTAGGGCCACGGTTAAGTTACCAGTGTGCATAACAGTGAGGTATGCCTCAAATAAGCCTTTTGTTTTTAAACTTTAAAAACTGAACTATAACATACCCATGCAGTAATATTTTTCAGTGCCACTAATTAAAAAAAAAAAAAAAAAAAAAAAATTAAAGCCTGCACTGGAAATTGACAGTATGGCAGAATTTTGTTTCTCCTACCTTTGACCCAAAAACGTAATGTACAGATTTTATATAGGGTCTGTGTTAAAAATCTAAACATTTCCACAAGATTTTAAACATCGCTGGAAATCTGAATTTAGAGGAAACAAAATTGGATAAAAGTACAATGCCCGTGACAGCCAACATTATGTAACTGGGCTGTATGAGGTTGTTGAGAAGGCAAGGGTTAAAAAGATAGGTGCGATGTTTTTTTTTTGTTTTAAAATTACCCCCCCGAGTTGATGCGCTGATTTGAACATAAGTACACCAGATACTACAGCAAGGGGAAACACTGCAAAAAAGGTAATCTATTTACAGAAGAGTGATTTAAAGACATTATGGTTTTCTTTACAAACAGATGTAAGAACAAGAATTGTCACTTTTTAAAAACTCTACATTTCAACCCTCCACTATTATTATAATCCACCGAACTGCCCGTGTCGGAGGCAGTCCCCCCCGGCCCTCCCCGCCCCCCCCCATTTGACTCTCCAAATTTCCATCATTTCTTCATCTGCGGTCCAGGCTCTCTTAAAAAGTCTCTGGGCACAAGTCCTAGGACGAAAGGCTTTTGACCTGCCATTAAAAATGAAACCGCCAAGAACGAGAGCTCCCTGGCCCACACCCTGGCCCCACCGAGACCCCTTCTGGGTGCGGTTCAGTCATCGCTATCCGACAGCGTCTCATACTGTGCAGAGAGCAGCGGGGCAGGCTCTCGCTCCCAGATCCTGCTCTGCTGGTGAGGAGCCGCTTGGTTCACGGAGGACGGGGCACACGCGATCGGGGTCGGTGGCGTACTGCTGAGCATCCGCATAGTCAGAGGGTTGTAAGGAAACTGAGTCGAGCCTGACAAAAGAAAAACTGTTTTCACTGTCATGAGCACAGCTGCTGTTCCCTACAGCTTCCACGGGGTGGAGGGAGACACGATTATTCTATTGAAATGGTCTTGTGACACCGGTAGCCGAATGAAACACAGAAGGGCCAGGGTTTCACCATGTAGACTGTAGCCTATGGTAAGGCACCAATCGGTGAGAATCTAGAAGGGACGGAGGACACGAGTAAGTGCAAGCTTAGGGTTGCTAAGTCCGGAAGTGGAAGCTCAGGGCTGAACTTTCAGTGAGTTCTAGAACCAGGTGTTTCCATGGAGAATCCAAGTAAAACTGCATATTAAGCTCGAAGAGTCTGGTTGCACCAAGAACTCCTGGACTCTTAATGATAAATGCAGCAGTACGTGCTCAGAGGACGAGGGGACAAGGAATTGCAGCAGGTCACAGGGCAGCAGGATGCAGGTCAGCTGCTGGGTCTCTGGGCAGATTTAAAAGGTACAAGATCTGGAAGAGGGTATGTGAACCTAACGACAGCACTGCTACCTCCTGCCACTTTCTAGATTGGTCTCAACTGTCCCCAGAAAGCCTCTTACAGCTTAAGAAACTCTAAAGACAGAAAACATAGCCATTTTATCAAGGGATTTCACAAATTAAATTCCTTCCCTAAGAGAGGAAACAATCACTGGTTTAGAAGTTGTCAAACTAGAGCACAATCACTTCGCATGTGATGTGAGTTTTATGAAGCAAAGGCCTTCAGTTATGCTGACGATATCCATAGAAAATTTATATGTAAATAAGGGGGAGAGCACATTTCAGACATTTTCCACTGACGTACATGTATTTAACTCCTAAAAGATGGCTCACGATTCTCTGAAACCCTTAAATCTACACCAGGTAATCCCAGTTTTATTTAAACAAAAAAAAGCAAAGCCTGTTCCCTTTCAAGACAACTAGTATTGTGGTTATTAGATTTGAGAAGAAAGCTTACGAGCAAGCAAGCACAAAAAGGAAAACATTCATAAATACCCTAGAACACGGTTTTTCATCAGTTTATATAAATATAAGTGAGCCTGCAATAGAGATGGCTTTTTACACTATCTCCATTTCTTATTTTGATTTCTTAATATTTCCCTAAGAACCTTCTCTAAGAATGTCTATAGAGAGGCTAAGGGTGAAGCCTGGGAGCGGCCCTTCACTCTCAGGTGTGGTTCCCGGAAGAACTGAAATCACAGACTTCGTGGCTTTGCAAATAGCAGGTGCTGGCTCCCAGCACAATACAGAAGTGGGGGGAATGGAGATGTTTTCATAGCTCTTCCTTTGTTCATGGTAATCAGACCTTACATTCTGTAAATTTTTAAGATTCCATGCATTCAGTGTCTGTTTTGGAAAGTGGAATCCTACTGATACAATAATGGAAACTGAGGTTTCCAAAGTTTGATTTTAGAAGTACTAGCCAAGGCTTTGATAAAAAAAGGACTTTACGACTCCTTTTCTAGCAGTAAGTTCCTCACCTGTTGAGGAGGGCCTGTCTTCCCAGGCCCACCCTGGTGTCTGCCTGTGGTAATCCCCTTCTGAATGTACAGAGGAGACGGAAGAGGGCCTTTCAGTTCCTAAGAAGCCTTGCCCAGGGATGGGAGATTTAGATTTCCTGCTGTTTGACTTGCTGATCAGCTTTGGTTTGCAAACTCCTCCTAAAAGTGAAATAAATTAACTCTTGACATGTAGTAATTATGTTCTCAACTTAAAAACCTACCCAAGTGCTGATGGGTTATATGCCGCTGAGAGAAAGCGGGAGGATGGCAGGCGGTGCGAAGAACCCAGATCCTAGGACCCAGTGAAGCTTCAAAGTTAGTACTTAAAAGCCAGAATTTACTTGTAGCAACTAAAGCAAAAGGGGTATGTCCTCATGCC